ATTAAATCAGATATTATCTCAGTCCGACTCGATCCCTACGAATTTGGGTAGAGAATAAACTCAGCATATTCTCTACGAAACCCTAGCCCCGAGGCTCCTATAAATAGATGACTTCATTCATCATTCAAGGTACATCTAAACATACTCCTTATACCCGAGAAAAATACCCGAAGCTCGTTCTCCCTCTCCACTCTCTTTATTTTCTCCACACGGCTCCGGCCACCACACATAAACACTACTCCGTATCCTTTGCTTAGCTATTGTTTTTCTACAAACACTCGAACTAACTTAGGCATCGGAGGGCCTTTGGCCAACACCCCCCGGGTGTGGTATATTTACTCCAATCTGTTTTACAGGAATCGAGGAAGAAAGAGAAGGAAGATCGAAGGTTGAAGGATCTAGAAGCGAATATTCTCCCGTGAGATTATTTGCACAAACACAATTCTTGTGTTTCGATAAAAAAAAAACATAGAAATTTAGAAATTCTACGTGGGAAAAAACATGGAATTCGGAGGTCATAAATCCCAACTTTTAATTTTCCTCATCCAAACGCATTGTAATTTTCATGTGAATGTACTTACTATAATTAGTTTATTTTGATATTTATGGCTCTGTAATGTATCTATATATATAAAGCAAAAAGCAAAGAATGGTAAAACATTCAAAATACTAGAAAATGCCTTTTATTAATGCAAACATTAAGAATTGAAATTATTAATTAAATGATGATAATATGGTAAATTCACACTTTTTCATAATAAAAAAAATTAAAATTAAAAGAAAAATCAGATAATTGATCATATTTTTATGGAATACAACTATCGATCATCTTTTTTAATTCTTAAATAATTTTTTTTATTTTAAAAAAAGCCTCTCGCAGGTGCAGAAGCGCGTGTGGAGAGGCTAGTATGTTTAAAAATATACATAACATTGTGTATTCTCAATTTTTGAACATCCAAATATTATTATTATTTTGGGGGCTGATTTTTTTACTCCTCTTTTGTTCACTTACATTCCTTTTTTGTTACAGTAAAAATTATTTAAAAAAATAAAATGTTAAAAGTCACTTTTGGTCCTTGTAGTTTGACACTTAAACCACTTTTGATCCCGTAGTTTCAATTCCGTCAATTTTGACGCTGTAGTTTCATATTTGTAGAAATTCAAGGACAAGTTAGTATTCCTATCAATTTCTTTGACGGTACAAATGACAATTTCGTCAACCCCAAAATCCTTGAATATAAAAGCTCATCTCAAACTCTCCTAATTTCATTTTAGGGCTTGAAATTGGTCATTTGGGTAAAATTGAGATGAGTGGTTGAATTTCGAGCCATAATATGAAATGGAGAGAATTTCATACAAACTTTTACGCTTAAGGGTTTTGGATTGACGAAATTGCCCCTTGCATCGTTAAAGAAATTGACAAGAATACTAGCATGTTCTTAAATTGCTACAAATACGAAACTACAATGACAAAATGGACGAAATTGAAATTACAGGGTTAAAAGTGGTTGAAGTGTCAAACTAAAAGGATCAAAAGTGACTTTTGGCTAAAATAAAAGGGAATGTAAATAAAAAATGCGAAAATCACCGCCCATTATTTTTGGTCATAAAACATCCATTTTCATTCACACGCGACGCGGGGCCGAGAGAGCTACTTCTCACTTCTCTACCAACTCCATATTGAAGAACATTCGGATCAAACTCCCACGCACGCGAACAAAAATATCCAACACCAGCCTTTTGCCCTAGCGTTTTGAACCCAAAAAAAAAAAAAAAGAAAAAAAGAAAAAGCCTTTTGCCATTCTATATTCAACATTTTGATTCTGAGAATAAAAAAAAAATTTAGCCTTTCGGTTTTCTGTTTTCTTTTGTTCCTATTTTACCCTTCTTGCACCTGTGTATTCTCTTCTCCTACCTTTTTCTGGTTCTTCTTCCCCTTCTTCGATTCGATTGGGTATTGTTCATCTATGGATAAATCTTTAATATTCTTGTATATCACTACCTTGGCCTCGCTTTTGGTTTCGTCCTCCGCTTTCTGCCCTCACGAATCGGAATTTTTCCGTTATAGTCTTCAATCTCAATCCCATATCTCGATCTACCCCTACCCTCCCCTCAAGGTACGTGTTACCCTTCGATTTCTCACATACCTGCTTACCTATTTGTTTATTTGTTATCTGAATTGACTGATTCTTTTGTTGACTCTGTTGCTTATTGAAAATCTTTTATCTTTATTGGGTGCGAATTTGTGTATTGGTGATGCTTGATTTTTGTTTTGTTGGATTGTGTTTAAATTAATCAAAATGGGTGATTCTGGATTCTGGGTATATCAGTTTCTAAGGTTTTAATTGCAAAAGGGTAGCTGGTATGTCATGCGGGGTGGTAGAGTTTGTATGGTGCAAAAATTGAAATATTAGAATGTGAGGTATTGGTTGACTTTTGGATAGCATTTTTGACTCTGTTAGAAAAGATAAAAGATTTGAAAGAATAACAGTTGCAATTCTATAAGTTTCCCTATTTGTTATCAATTGGGTAATTACAGAATAGAAGAAAGATGGGAATTTGAGATAGCTGTGTTCTGGAATGTGGTTGTTTTAGGTAAACCTTCCCTTTGCTCTTTCAGTTTGATTTTATTCATTTTAATTAGTCCGTTTGAGGCATGGTCAAGGACAAAGGCCTTGATTTTGTTCATTTTTCTTTTACTCTTCAAGTTTGATTTTATTCATGTGAACCTACGAATATGTCTTGAACCCTTCTTGTATAACTCTGCCAAAGTGCTAGGTCAAGCATTACGTAGGACTTCTGGTTAATCCCTCAATGGGGTGTCTAGTGTTAGTTACTATGTTATCCACTGAAGAACATTGTATGAAGTAAAAATTTGTATGATTTCAGGTATTCGTTTTTGTGCTTACATCGATGTTTAGCTGCCTTGAATAATTTTACTTCATAATACGAGTAAACAATAACAAAGTAGAGAAAAGAAAAAGCATTACTTTTGATAAAAAGATTAATAATACTAAAGAATTGGACAAAAGAAGCATTCCTGTTAACTAAGGAAATGAGTACAAAACATCATCCAAATCTTCTCCCATCTCAACCAAGCTTTTTTTCTGGTCATCAAGCTTGAAGAGGCTAGAAAGGACTGTCTATAGTATGGGTTGACTACCTTGTCAATTCAATTTTTCTCCCAAATGCACACTGCTTCATTGTCCATCTTTGTAATCATCATGGTACACATTGATTTGAAAACATAGTATACTGTAGACATGTCCTTTCTAGCCTCTTCAAGCTTGATGACCAAAAAAACAGCTGGGTTGAGATGTGAGATGAAGATTTGGAGGATGTTTTGTACTCATTTTCGTAGTTTTTTTGGGTCCAATTCTTAGTGTTAATATTTTTATAGAAAGAACAGTTTTTTTTTTCTACTTTGTTTTTTAAAAAAAGGAAGTAAATTGGATAGTTTATTTCATTTTATTTAAATGATGGAATAAACTCTTTAGTCATTGTTAAGTTGTTTATGGAAATTAAATACTTTTTTTTTCTCTCTACAATCTCTCACTAACTTTGTGATCATAAGTTACTTGAGTAGTCCATTCTCTTACAATGGGTTTAGTACATTTTCCATGCCTTTGTAGCACACTTCTCTTTGATTTTGGCACTAAATCGAGCCATTTATATAGTCCATTGAGAGGTTGTGAAGTAGTAGGCTGTCAATCGTTGACTGTCCTGAATTAAATAAAGATGCTGTTTAATGGTATCTACTAATATCCTCATTACAGTTTTTATTATTGCTGAAAACGTTTAGGAACAATGAAAGAGATTAGGATATAGAAGATCTAAAACTTGATTAGGAGTTGATAGTTGAAGAGGGCTTACAAGTGATTAAATCTTGAATGATGTAGCAGGAGCCAGAAAACTGCTGCACGATAGTCCAGAAATAAGGTGTCTTAAGGATTTAGAGTGTTAAGGTTAGAGGTTTGTTACAGAAAGGTTTTTCAGGAGTCAAAATAGAGTAATGCAGTGGTGATATGTAGAAATAGGGTTGGTTATGGACACATGGTCACTGCAGTGCATGAATATCAATGGAAGAAAGAGATTAAATTCTAGGCACAAAAGCTAGATCTCCATAGTTACCAGAACTATGGTCAGAACAACTATTCTCCTAGGAAGCATCTCAGCTATTGCAGATATTCTTTTCAATGTGTTCTTTATTGGAATGAAAGGAGTACCCTGCAGAATTTGGAGTTAGTTCATAGTGTCTTTTTGTCTGCGTATGGAGAGAGAGAGAGAAATTGACACACTCCCGCACAAGAGCTTCTTTGACAGGATCCAGCTTTATGGGATTCTACTTTTTCTTTAGAATAGACGAAATTTTATTGTAGAAGACAATAAAAGCAGGGGTGGTCAAGATGGCTATGGGATTCTACCTTTTAGTTTTTAGTTTTAGTTTTTTATTGTTGTTTCCAGATGCAACGGGATTTACTTCTTGTGTAGGGTTAAATTTAGGGTTTGGTTACAGGTGATGTTTTAGAGTTTAAGTGTAAGGGAGAGACAATGAAGTGGAAATGGATTTTAAGCATTACTCATTTATTGAATATTGTTAGAACCTAAATACCCAATGCAGAAGAGGAGGCAAAAACTAACGCTGATGAAAATTGCCTTTGTAGTACATTGTAGTGCTGGGTGCAATAATTATAATGAAGATAAATGCAGTGATTATAAATGGTTTTTAAAATGAGGATATGAGTTGTTGACGATTGTGAAGGTGGGTTGACGTGGCACACAATAATTGCTGGCAAATGGTGATGATTAACCTTAGCCTATAATGTTTATTGAAGTGATATTCTGCCTTCGTTTATAGTTTGTTTGTTGCTCACATTTATTTTATCAAAATGGGCTTCCAATTTATATTCATTTTAAAATGTTCTTGTTTTTCCTTGTATTTAGAGCCTCATTTTTTTATCCGCTAGACCAATAGCTAGTTGAGTATTTTTTGAGCCTCCAATGCCTAATACTTATGTCAAATTTACTCCTTCACAACCTTATGAATCTGGTAGCAGATGGAAACCATAAGTTGTATATTTTATGCATTTTTTTGTTTAGATTTTTGTCTTAATTTTTCTTTTATTCTGTAAAGAAAAGAAAAAGGACAACAACCTTTTTCTTTGCCATATTTTTCTAATAATTATATGTGAAAGTTTTGACTCTTATAATGATTGAAATCAATGTTCATTTGCATAAATGGAGTTTGATCCTTTGGAAGTCATGGCGTTTATGGTTTGAGTCCAAGTGTATGCAGTGGAGGAGTGTATAATAAGGTCAACTGGAATGCCTGTTTGATTGCTTTTGTGTCATCTCATAGTTTAAACTTTCTTGTCAGAAAATTTGTTATTAAAATTCAAATATATGGTTAGAATCTAGTGATTTCCCAAATATCGACCATTAATGCAATTTTCCCTTTATTTTTAGTATATTTTTCCTCATCTTGTCCTTAGCTTCCATTATATTTGTTCTTTTAAGTCAATAATCAGTTGATGGTAGCATGAAACTTTTTTGAAAGAATACAACAATTGCATGACACACTTTCTCTCAGTTAAAAATGGAGTCTTGTGAATGTTATTTATTTTCTTATCTTCTTCAGGTGGATGGAAATTTCCTTGAGAGAGCTTTGGCATCGAAACAGAGGACTGGTTATACTGCGGTGCTCTTTTATGCTTCATGGTGCCCATTTTCATGCAGTATGTATCCTACATTTGGAATGCTCAGCTTCATGTTCCCTCAAGTAGAACATTTGGCAATTGAGCAATCTTCAGCATTGCCAAGGTGCGAAGCTTTAAATTGACCTGCTTCTGTCCTTTATCTTTTTTCTATGTAAGATTCCTTTTGGTTTTGGATCTGTGGTACAAATACTGGAGCCTGGCTAGATACATATAGTAGGCCAAAGATTGATTTGACCGAAAAAAAAAAAAAAAGTATATTTGCTCTGTATTATGTTTGTTGTTAAAAATAAAAAAAAAATTATATGCGTTTTTAGTATTTTCCATTGCATAATCTAAGTTGCCAATGAGGATGCTATAGATTTGTTAATTCAAGTAAAATTGCATAATTTTATAAGCAATTTGTTCAGTTTTTATTATCTATTATTAGTATTACTAAATCCAATTGCATTCCACCCTTGGATGCTTTCATCAATGGGGGACGCATTTACTTAGATATTTATGGGATACACAAAGTTATATAATTATCTATTCTTTGAAGTACCACTATTATCACGCATACTCACCTTCCTTTGATGTGTTTGTACTGTAGTGTTTTCTCAAGATATGGAATCCATAGCTTGCCTTCGATTTTAATAGTCAATCAGACATCAAGGGTGCGATATCATGGCCTAAAAGATTTATACTCGCTTGTACGATTTTACCAAACAATCACAGGTAAAAGTCTCCCAAACTGAAGAATATTATATGCATGTGGGGGAATGTCCAATAGGTGGCCTTTTCCTTTTCATCTGTTTTGCACAAATTGTGAAGCAGTTATCTTGTGGACTTGACCATATACATCCTTGCCATCTAATTTTGTCTTTCAGGACTTGAACCAGTTCAATATTTTGATGGCAATCAATCCGTCGTTTTAAAAAGTAGTGAAAAGTCCATAATCCAGTCAATAAGTAATATGTCACTAAGAGAGATATCAAGGAGCGAACCCTATTTAGTTTTTGCTCTCTTGTTCCTCTGTTTGAGGGTACTCCTGTATATATTTCATAGGGTATTGGCTTGCCTCAAAGCTTTCTGGGTTCTATATGTTCCCCATTTTAACTTAGGAATATTTGGGGAGACAAGTCAAATTATGGGGCGTATCCTCCACATGGTTGATGTTAGGAGGATTTGGAACAAGCTGAGACTATGCAAGACCCAAAACTTCCACAAGGGTGCAAAGAATGCCAGGGTTTGGGCTTCTTCACTGACTTCTGTCTCTCTGGGTGAATCATCAGCTAGATCGTCATCATCATCGTCATCTTAAATGCAGAACTTAAAATCTTGTACAAGAGAAATTGGGGTAGAAATCTCCAACTGATAGTGTATAATCAGCTGCTGTGATGTTCTTGAGGCAGGTAGTTATTATCTCTCTCTCTCTCTCTCTCTCTCACACACACACACACACATGTATCGTTACTGGTATTGATGATAGCTGAAGCTGTTGTCGTTGTTTGAGTTGAGTAATTTTTTTTTTTTTTTTTTGGGGGGAAAGGAAACCAGCAATGTAAATTTGAGAATAGCTTTGTTTTTGTAAATTACTTGTCATCTGACGTGAAGTTTCTTAGTTTATACAAGAGGAATGTAAGAATATTAACACAACTCTCTCTCTCTCTTTCTCTCACTCCATTAACGATATGTGTATGATTCTCTAACAGGTTTGTAAGAAAAAATATTAATCAAAACCACTGATCGCATGCTTTTGAAACAGATGTGATGCCTAGACTCGCCCATTGGACATTGCGTATCTGTTCTTTCGTATTTGATATTAACACTTAAGAAGATACAGCAAGCTCTTAAGTTATTAAAGTCTGTATACGAACAGTTGACAAGCATCTTACCTCCCCACATTTGTTGTGCATCTCAACCATTTATGTCTAATCTACTGATTGATATAACTTTTCAAGTTTGATCCTAAACTTGGGGCGTTGGTGAGTTGGATTATGTAATTGGATATGATTCATAATTCTAATGTTGGATGACTTAAAAAAACTTAATTGGATTATGTTTATTCTCACTAATGCCAAATGTAGTAGAATTATGAATTCTACTAAAGGGTTGTGATTAAGTTGGATTGGATTATATCTAATCCTACTAAGCCATGTAATAGCACATTAATCCAACACCTTAATTATGTGTAGCAGTAATATAAGAATTCTATAGTGATGGCTTTATTTATGGCCTTTAGGTAATGCCCTATCTCTGAATCATTGGATCAAATTGATTAGCATGATCTAACGGTTAAGAAATATGACCCCACCTAAGGGTGCTCACTATAAAATGACTCGTGCAGTATGAAACACATCATTTGGATTAATGTCATCATTTTTCAGTTTAATATAGTCCAATGCAATTCAATCCCAGTCACTCGATATTTCATATTCATATAAGTACACAACTCAAGTCCGTGAATGAGGATTCGTTTTCAGTCGTTAAATTAAATCTGATGGTTGAGATGCATCTTATACCATTGAGTGAAAATTGCATGGTCCAAAGGATACATGTTATTCGTCTTTGTGGGAGACAAGGAATGAGGGTATGAAAACAACAACCCTTCTAATCAATCTATCGGTTTTAAATGTATGATAATTTCAAAACCTATATCAGTTAAGTGCCGATTAGGTGATGGCGCAGTCAGTTTAATGGGATTGCCGTGGATTTTGGGAGCATTTTTGCTCACCACTTTAACTCAATGCGTATCATCACCACCCATCTTAAATGTTGACACATGTACAAAGATGTAACCATAGTTAACTTTTTTTTTTTTTTTTTTCTAATGACATTATTATGAGAGAGGAAAAAATAAAAATCCTTTTAATAAAATTTAATTAGAGAAAAACCAAAAACCCAACAGCCACCAGCACCCAACCAATCTGGTAAACTCCACCGGCAGCAACCTTCTGTCCTCCTTGCCGCCAGAAATACCTCGGCAACCACAACCACCGTTTCCCTGCAGCAATACAAATCTGCCGAAGATGGCGAGGTAAGAAGACTAAAAACCGAGCCCAAGAGACCCCAAAATCCGAGCGAGAGAGTCGTCCGATCCTATTAAAGTTGAAAACAATGGCATAAGTAGAGACTCATATTTAGCCCCAGATTTCAATCCATTGCTGCCATGGCCGATTGGAAAGAAGAGAGCCTTCTAATCGCAAGCCTTGTGGTCGATGCCTTAGTGACAAGTCAAAGACAAGAAACGTTCTGATTTGCACTTGAAGGCCCCACCAACCAATTCAACAAGATACTAAATCTTCTTCAGTTTTTATTTCTTAAAAATTGATAATCGTTTTAGTTTCTTGTTTTGTAAAAGATATGTTGACTAGGGCGTGGTGGAGGGTGACGATGGTGGCTGGGGATGGTGGCTAGGGTTGTTGGGTTTTTTTTTCTTAAATGTTATTATTATTATTATTTGGTTTTAAATACTTTAATAAATTTAAATTTTAAAAGTTAACTATGGTTATAACTATGGACATATGTCAACTTCTAAGAAGGGTGGTGAGGGTACACTTAAGGTTAAAGTGGTGAGCAAAAATGCTCCCGTGGATTTTGGGGTGGGTTAGGTTAATGGAGTAAGTGCGATGGAATGGAAAAGTAGTGGGTGGGTTCAGGGAATAATGTGACATGGGGTTTGACTTCTTGTGGCATGAGATGGCGTTGTACAAAAACGTGTTTGGGCCAAAAATTGACACATCCAGCCCAAGGCCCATCAGAACAAACAAAGCTGAGTTGGGCCTCACAGGCCCAACATAAATAGGAAGAGGGAGTCCAGACCAGAAGAGGGAACAATCCCACATGGCAGCCTCTGGGATAAAAG